GAATGAAAATAGACACATACAATGATTCATTCATGATGTAACATGACAAAAAAATGCACACACTAGAATTTAACTCAGCAGAAACGATGTTGAATGCTGCAGGAGGTGGTGAGGTGGTGTGATCGGAGTTACTGGGAGTTACCTCCTTAAAACATTAAGTTTAATATCTAATACAATTCCTTTATGGAATCTTTTATCACCACTGCTTTTACTTGAACTTGATGGTCTTTTTCCACCCATCTTGAATAAGGGTACACAGTAACACAGATGCATAATTGAACACAAGCTGGGGAAAGAATTCAAACTAAGCAGTGCCATTGTTGTGGTGGCATCTGGGGAAGTGAGCGGCCCTCCAGCCACCTTGTAGCTACCACCAAGAATCCACACGAAATAAATATTATGATTTCAGTGAATTTCTTTGTTATACTGTATATAATAATTTTTATGTTTGAAAAATTTACCCAAATTCCATATGGGCGAGCTTTTTTCTTCATATTTTCGTCAGGGCGAATTTCCGTAACCCGGGTTTCTGTAATGCAGGGGTTGCTGTCGTCTTGGATTACCTCAGGGAGTTGCAACTCTGCCTTGCCAACAGTTCCCACCCTTTGGATTGGTTTTAGGAAGAGTATCCAATCATAAAACTTTGCTTCAATATGACTGATGGCAACTGGGGCAACAGAGCTGTTCCCATCCCCTGGTCTCTGCTGCATTTTGTAGGCTGGCACCCTGAGTTTGTGGGAATGAGAGGTACATCCTGTTCTGCCATCAGGTAATCATGGATAACTCACACAAGTGTAGAAAATGGCCATAAAACATTTATGGTGGTGATATTAACAGCATTCTGTAGCAGGTGCTTTCATCTGGAACATTATGAACTCAATAGTTGTATAGCTTCCTCCAGAAATAAGAAAAGTGGTGGCCCCCATTTAAAAGTTCATTTTTCCTTAATCAGGTGATATAACCTTCACCTCAATCTCTCAAATCTTAACAGCTAAATACATTCAAGCAAATGTGTTGGCCTTCACATATATCACCTCCTTAGTTAACAGACGAACATTAATAACTTTAAGTCAAAATTTACCAGAGAAGCAGAGCCTGACACTGATAGTAATGAACCCATAGCAGATCACAAATGGAATACAAACAATCCCCCAGGTTATGGATGGGTTTTGTTCCTGGAGGCTAACCATAAGCTGGAAGTGACCCTTCCATAGGTATATAATCATTGAACACACATTGTTCACAATGTATATACAATTACTTTACAGTTATGGGACCATTTATCCAACACGCTTGGGGCCTGGAGGTTGCCAGATAGTTTTTTTTCATAATTTGGAGCATTAGACCTAAATGTACAGTAAACCCTCTGTAACTGGCTGTGAAGACTGTTCAGATCATTAGATTCACCCCAAAATGTAGCTTTAACTGTACACTGTAACATTAAAACTTGAAATTGTAGGCATATAAAAATTAAGATCAAAAGCATAAAAATAACATTAAAGCATAAAGAGAGCAAAAATGATACAAGTAAATTGCATCACAGTTGCCCCTGGTACTTGCCTCAGCAATGGTGCTGCACCACAGACCCTCTGACATCCACACACTCGCCACACATTTTCACAGTGGAAGCCTGTAGATACTTAAAACTTTATACTTTTTGATAACGTTTTAATTTATTTATTTTTGCACTTTCTGTATGTAGGATGATGTGTGTACTTTATACACTGGAGCCCTGCGTTATGGAAATTCTGGTTACGGAAATTCACCCGTTTGGACATTTTAAACCACTATCACTAAAACTATGACATGGAATGTTAATTCACCCTTATGGAATTTGCAGAAAAAATATTCAGATTTTTTATTCATTATGCGAAAAACAATTACCGTACTTGGACTGAAATTATATAATTGTTTAAGAGATTTAAGTTCCATGTGTGTGCATCGATGATGTTAAATCACTACCACTAAAATCAGGACATGGAATGTAAAATCACCCTTAGGGAATTAACCCCCCTCCCCCCCAAAAAAAAACACGATGGGAAAAAAATCACCAAAATTTTACGTTTGCTTATTGAAATTCAAATTGTATTTGTGCGCATTGATGACGTTGGTGGCGGACTTTGTTTTGAACCTGGAAGCACATAAGAAATGTTTTTTCCCTTTATGTTTTTTACCATATCAAAATCATTTCTTTTATTTTTTATATGTCGTGGCCTGATAGGAGGAGGCTGAGATCCCCGACACTGCACACCTTCCTGCTCCCCTCTTCCCCTGTCATTATCTGCAAGCTAACTCCCGTTGACATAAGAAATGTTTATTCCCTTCGTGTTTTTTACCTTTTGATAATCACATTTACTTTTTTTTGCACATTCTGTATGAATGATTGTGTGTATGTAACAGAAAAATATATATATATATCTACCCAAAATTAGGAGTTGAAAAGTAACCATAACAGTTCACAGCTGGCACAAAGAAATATTTATTCCCTTTGTGTTTTACCTCATAATAATTTTTTTGTTTTTTTTGTACTTTCTGTGTGAATGATTGTGAATGTATGTAACAGTAAAAAAATAAATAAAAAGAAGAAAATTACATACAGTATATCTACCCAAAATTATGAGTTGAAAAATAACAACAACACAGCTTGGCCTGGTAGGGGAGATATAGTTACTGGGAGTCTAACCCTGCGATATGCCAAGTCCACACATACATTCACTTCACACACATACACATCCATGCTCTTCATTTTTTCTTATTTTATATCAACATGCCATCTCCACGGATATTGTTTTTTTATTTGCTTTACAAATAAGCGGGGTATGCTCTGCGAATACAGTAATTCCTTGCCTCACGTTCTCCCATTTAATGTTGTTTCGTTATTACATCGATATTATTTCTATACCAAGGCTCTACACAATGTTGTGTAAAATCGTTATTACATTTTTGGTCAGATGGTGCTACTTTGCTCCGCCCAACACTTTCCCTCGCCTGCCAAGTGATGCTGTACAACTTCATTGCGAAGCATCAGTCTTACTTACTCCTCTGCCAAGTGTGAATGTGTTGCAAGTTCTGTGTACCTCGTGATCACCTTGTTTACGTTGTTGCTCTACTTTGCCTATTAAAATGGCTTCAAAATGACCAGCTAGTGATTTTGCTTGTACTGTAGTGCGAATTGCAAGAAACAACGGAGAAGCATTAATCTTTTTTTTAATGAGCAATAACCCACCTGGGCACAGGTCATAGACCCACAATGGGGCCTGAGGGAAAAAAAAAAGGTAAAAAGTAGAGGAGAAAAAGAGTATGTTAATCTATAGTTAATCTGGCAGTGAAGATGGATGTTTTACGTCGCTTTGAAGATGCGAGCGTGTTGGGATTACCCACTACCACGGTGCATACTATTCAGCTAGTGCTGACAAAATTAAGACCAGTGTTGGAAGTACTTTGTCTTTGAGTGCTACTAAGAAAAGTCGCACTTGTATTGGAGTGATAGAGAAAATGGAAAAGATGCCTGCAATGTGGACCGAAGACCAAAATCAGCGCAATGGCCTTATGAGTTTGATGGTTATGTAATATAAGGCCAAGTCTCTGTTTCATGACTTACCAAGGAAGGTGAAGGCTCTAAAGACAAAGAGCTTATATTTATATGTACGTATTTACAGTGCAAAATATGTTGGTATTTGTAATCTATTTACATTGTCTTAATTGTGATGCATGTTATAGGCTGGGAACATAACCTACAGTACTTATTTCTTTACCTTCTTCTTGGAAAAATTGATCCACAATGTTATTTTACATAATGTTGCAGTTTACAAGACCATAACCACAACATTAACAGAGAACTTATTGTATCAATTATGGGTGTTAAAATATCAGTTGCAAAAAAGTGGAGTTGCGATTAGTGAGGTACACTTTTACAGTACTGTTTATGGGAAAAAATGGTTTGCATTATGGAAATTCACGATATGGCCACTTTTTCAAGAACACATCCATTCCGTAATGTGGGGGGTCCAGTGTGCCTATGATAATTACCAGTGTTTCTTTTATTTAGTTTTTGCACTTTCTGTATTTAAGATTAAGTGTATAATAATAATAATAATAATAATAATAATAATAAAGTGGACTTTTGTTTCTCAAAAGCACCAGTTCCCCTAAAGAATTCAATAGTGCACGAATTACTTCTAATTCAAGGACCTGTGAATAAAAAAATAAAAAAGATAAAAATCACAAAAAGTGGTAGTTCGTATATCCTTAACTTGTAACACTTCCTAAACCCTGTAACTCTCCTTCAGTATCATAGGATCTTAAAAAAAAAATTGGTCTTAAGTTGTTTCTTAAAGGCCTCCACAGAAGTCAGCTGCTTCATGGATGCAGGCAACCGATTGTACAGTATAAATTGGGAGCTGTATAGGAAAAGAATCGTGCAGCAAAAGAACATTCCCACTCGGCCTTGGAATTATTTGGCACTCATTTTAAATAGGACTAATGAAAGAGTATCTGTAAAGTTTGGAATTTGTAACCCGAGGAGTGTCTATACAGTACTGTATGTTCAGTATTCTGTCACTTGTTAGTGAAGGCAGGTTGTGCTGCCTATTTGGTCTCAACATAATGTCATACCCACAGTATGAATATAAACATTATGGATTTGAAATAAAATTGAAATACCTAATGTAAAAAAAAAAATCACAGCCATCAAAATAATATTACAATTTCGGATTTTGAAAATTTAACTAGTGTTAATTTTATTTGCAATTTTAGTGTAATTTTAATTGCATAATAGTGTAGTTACAATTGCACAGTAGTTAATCCTATCTCTGGTTACTAAAATAGCCAATGGGAAAAGGATCTGCCTAGACCACAATACTGAAGAAAAAAAAGCCATGGTGTAGATTAATAGACTATTCTCTTTCTTTTTTCATACTAATTATTTCCTATTTGTTCTTACCCACTTTTTTTAACCCATACAATAGTCTGATTACTGATTTGTTTCCTTTGTTTTACAGGAAGAAGAAGTATATTCCAGCAGGTACAGGGAAGAGAGGTCGGCCAAGGAAGTACCCTCCCCCTGTAGGCTGTGAGTACCGGAATTCTGGTGGGTTGACTGAAGAGAGTTGAGTGTTTGGAGTTTTATTTTGTAAGGATTGTGCATGTACGTGAAACTGACACGAGTGCTGCACTTATGGATATTATTAATCGTTTAGCCATTAATCTTATTTTTGATGTTTGTATGGGTTTTGTAACACATGGTTATGTTTAATGTGTTTGGTGCTTATGTTTTTCATCAGCATCACTTATAATTAATTTGGTGTACATGTGACTGTGTTCCAGTTAGGTATATTGTTCAGTTTATTAGTTGATTTTATATTCTACATTTTCTTCTTACACTTCAGAAGCATAGTTTTGTGTATTCTATAGAATTTAATTTTAAGGCACATGTAAAATGCAGCTATTATTTTCAGATGGTCCTGGCATGCAGCGTCCAGACACAATTGATGAAGATGGTAATATCTTTGAGCCACAGATAATTCTAAAAGACGGGATGGTTGTCAAGAACGAACCTGGGGATGAACGTAAAGGACTTCATGCTGGAGAAAATGGTGCAAACAATTTAGCAAACACCTCTAATGGAAATTCTGGAATCCAGATTCTTCCACGCCCAGTTCTTTCAAAGGAAGAACTTGAAAAAAGGAGGGAGTATTACAATAATCATAAGAACAAGATAAAATATGTTTGTCACTATTGCCAAGTTCATTTCTACCACAAACCCAACTTTGATTTCCACATTTCAAAGTTAGAAAGTACTGGAAAATGTAGAATCTATGAAAAGGTAAATAACCTGTACCTTTGTGAGTCCTGTGGGGAGGGGTTCTCATGGCGGGAGAAACTAGAGAAGCACTTACGTTTAGCTGAACAACATGGAACGCACAATCAGAAGGAGTTGCTTATGTTTGGGGACTTCCAGTGCAATATGTGTGGCAAGACATTTAATAAACGCACAACATACCTGCAGCATATAAAGTGGCATGAGGATCGCGAGGACATCCCCTGTGTCATCTGTGGAACCATGTTCAAACAGACTGATCTAAGACATCATTTGATGGAAGTCCATAGTAATGACAGCCTTCCATGTTGCTATTGTGGCAAACTTTTTACAAGTAGGAAGTATTTAGAAAAGCATGAGTTAGTTCACCAGGGAGGCAACTTCCCATGTCCAGAATGTGGTAAAACATTCAGTCAAAAGAGTAATATGCAGCAACATCTTAAGACACATACATTAGATAAAGAATATTCTTGTGAGCACTGTGGACAAACATTTAATCAACGTGCTGGTCTATGCCAACACTTAAAGAAGCATTTTGGCCCAACTGAATTCAACGATGAATGTGAAGTATGTGGTCAATATTTCTCTAATGATTATAATCTTAAAGTGCACAAGAAGAAGATTCATAACATGCATGTAGAAGGAGTGCCAGATGATATTTCCGACCATACAGAGTATCTTTCTTCACCTATAACATCACACTTGACACCAGAGGATCTTCGTGAGAAAGCCTATGGTGCTGCAAATTCCACTGTGAAGAACATGTTAGGAGTGTCTTTGGGGTCATCAGTTAGTTTAGGCCTGTCTATGAAACAAGAGGGTAGTACAGAATCTCTCGATGAAAGTCAATTACACATGAGAGATAATTCAAGTCATTTGAATGACATGAGGCATATGACTGATAGACGAGACACTCCTGGTGGCCTCATGAAAGACACCCTTGAAGCTGATGAACACATGAGAATGACCCAACACCACTCCATGGCTGTAAATGAAGACCCCTTACATATGCCTCAAGATCTTACCCGAATGACAGCTAGCCAAGCACACATGAGTGATGATTCAGGACGCATGTCTACTGCCCCACAATCTCCTCTTATTGCTGCTCCACAGTCTCATATGAGTGATATGAGAAACTCGGCTACTGACAGTCCAGGACGTATCACTGATACCCCTCATATGACAGACAACTTGGGTCGTATGGCAGCTGAAAATTTTGGACGAATGACCAGCACACCAGGGGGTTATTTAGCAGAACACTTGCGTCGTATGGCAGAAAACCAGAGTCGCATGTCAGATTCTATGTCTCATTATGATGAACGTGATAATTATAGTCGTCTTGGTGACAATTTGCGAAGTATGAGTCGAGGAAGTGCTGCAGATCCCATGGGTCGCTTAGGAGACAACTTAGGCCGTATGACAGACAATCTTAGTCATATGGGTGTTATTCGACCAACACAAACCCCCTCCAGCACACCCCAGTGGCCACCACATATGCAAAATCATGCAGCATTAGATAGCATGAATCAGTCTCCCCAAGCTAGCCAGCATACACTTTATCCACTGCCATTCTGGCCCTATGACCCTTCTCTGCGACAGTATCATCACTGAGCACCTGAAGGTTATACACACACTTAGCAAACATTCTGACATACAAGGTCCAGATGTATTCATCATATCTAAGGCATGATCAAGAAGTTCCATCACACTTCTAAAAGTTAGGAGAAGCTATTTTTCTTATTTTTTTAATTAGTCAAGTCTGTTGGCTTATTTTAATCTTCATGTAGAAGATGTGATGTTATGATTGAAGGTTCCTACGATGCTAGACATTAAAATTTGTGTAGTACAATTATGAATTTTCTGTGGTAGCTGTAGTTTATAGTAGCTGTCCAGATTTCTGAACATTAATTGCTTGGTAGTGTATCCATATGGAGGATTAAAAGTTGTAGTAAACTTATTTTAGATTACCATACAATGCGTATACTGGCCATGTGTAGTGCTTAATGTATGCTGTCAAGTCTAGCTTCCAATCTTTAGATATGCCTTTTTTCAGGTTTTATGAAGAACCGTCATTTTTCATTTCAGATGGTATGCAAATATTTATAGAAATTGACAGCTATCTTTCTTTGTGATAAAAAGATATTGTGCTCTCTAGTTTCTTAATTATGAATAGATGCAAAAGAAACCAGATGTGGGTTCTTTTTAATTATTGAGTACAGGGCATTGTCAAAAAATGTACTTACCACATATATTTTCAATTTGGAATTTGTTTTTTAATTCATTAGATTGGTTTTATTATAGCCAAAAGTTTTATTATTATTATTATTTTTATTGTTGATACCTGTACAGGGCACATTAAGGTCTCGCAGTGGTCCAATCTATACAGGGTAAAAAAAAATCTGAAAATAACAATAATTTGGGGCATTTGCTCTTAAGGGTTGCAAGGTTGTCTGTAACCATTAACTTGGCCAACAAATACCCACATGATAATTTTTGTGTAGGTTATGGGATATACTGTAAATATACTGTATATGTATACTCAATAATTCACAAGACAGCATCTGGGATCAAGTGTTAGATCTTTTATATGGCTTAATATGTGATGCATCTTTAAATGCCATTGCCATGTTTCAGGACTTTTTCTTCTTTTTTTTTCATACTTCCTGAGCACTTAAAATTTACCATGTAATATGGAAATTAATACTGTATATGTAAATGTATTTGAATGCTACCATTGAGAAACTGTTCTTAGTGTGATGAGCATTGTGAATAAGGCTGCCAGTGATGGTGCAAAGAAACACACTTGTAGGTGGAAGCTGAGAATTATGGAATATTGTATCTTGAGTCTTTCTTTTGAAATGAAAAGTAAGCTTTTGAGTGACAGTGAGATTAGTCCTGAACTGTTAGAAGTCCTTGAAATGTATAGTGAGGAGACATGTACCATTCTTGCCAGGTGAACTAGTAACTAGTAATAGCTTACTAGTAGGGCTGCTAAGGTGTATATTTACCCACATGCTCTTTTGCAGTGCTTTTTGAAATAGCATGTACCAAATATCTATCCAAACTTCCTTGGATTACAGCCCTTATCACCTTGTAACCGTCTTTCCAAGAGATTCTTGAGTAGTAGGGACAACACTGCTTTATGGATGTCACTCTACTATATGAACAGGTAAGAAGATATTGTTAACAGAGTATCATAATTAGTTATATAATTCAGCCCCTTCCACAGGTATATCATATTGCAAATAGCATATCATAATGAGCTGTAATTCAGGAATTTTAAGAGCTTTGAATTGTCCAAAACTTATTTGGTTGAGAATTTTCTCTGTGGTTTATGAAAAGGAATCAGGTACAGTATTTGAGTTATTGGGAATCATGCATTGGATATTATGTTGCACATAGTGTATGTATTTAATAACGAGAAGTGAAGTCAGTAAGAACTAAAAATAATTAATTCAGAGTAACTTAAGTTGTTTTCTTCTTCACAAGCTATTGTTGCACTTAGTGCATACTTCTGTTTGGACATAATAATATTTGAATTGAGAAATACTTCATACAATGGATTGATTGATTGATTGTCTCTGACTTTGCCATGGGATTTGTCAAGCACTGTACATATTTTATTTTCATATATTTTATTAAAGATATATCATAAGGAGACAGAATATTCCATGTGATGGGGCAGAAGTTTGTAGTTTGTTGAGTTATAAATATCCTTTTTATAACTAAATAGAAATTATTATTTGTTATTTTTAGTCTCACATTTATAGTAAGTTTACAACTTCACACATGTAGTTGTGTTAAATGAATAGGCTGTTGGATCACGACTGCCTGTGTTTGACTGACACTGGTATATTCTTATTATTTTTGATCCGTGATAAAGCACGAGGGAACTGAGTAGTTAAATATTATGCTTATTGATCTGATGGTAACTAATTTATGATTAAATTGGCATGAAACTATGAAGACAATTTTTCACAGTTGTTTTTTAAGTACTCAACAACTCTCATTGTACTTAACCCAGATCAGGAAAGTTGTACCTTTCTTTAGTGGTGATGTCTTACAAAATAATTTTAGATCTTTATAATGTTTTATTATATTTTGTGCTATATACAACAGATGATATAAATATTTGAATTTCCTCTATATCATAATTATGTAGTTTAAGATTTATCATTTCCCTTTTGGGAAAGGTACTAATCGAACTTGAATCTCTGTGGCATATTTCCCCTGTTTGCTCTTAAGAGTTTTTATTTGTTGTTCGCATTGTGATGTGTGATGGACTAAGAGTAAGGATAAAGTCTAGAGCCAGTTTAGTGCCCAGTGAGTGACTTTGAAAAGGCTGTTGTAGTTTTTGTGAACTAATTATTAAGGTCTTGTAATCAATAAATTTATACTTTTATTAAATTAGTATGTTGAGAGTACAATGAAGAATTGGGGATGGATAGTAAAGTGATATATGTACTATTTCTTTAATCATGGCATTACATGAAATCATATGCTTAAGTATTTTATTTAATATATTTTTTATATTTTTTTTTCTAGTTCTTGAGTCTAGATATTAATCGTAGACTGTTGGCTTTCAACTTGTTTTTAAGTCGTTAGTTTTTAATGCAATATTTTAACTAAATGATGTAAGGAGGATAGCCTTCTTGGTGGTAGTTTTGAATGACATGATGTAATGCTACTTTGTGAAATATGTCATTTGTGATCTTTTGTGTAGAAATATAATGTGAAAGTGAATTGTGGTGTTAACGGATGGTTTGCATAGGGTCTCCCAGTTATTCTTCTTAAATATGGAACTAGGGAACCCTGACATCCCAATAAAATGTTTTTTATAGAACATGAAAGGTTGATTTGAGAATGTCGTGTTTTAAATACAGTATATATGTAATTGTTCATCTCTTTATTTTTTGTATCTTTTTGTATCTTTTGGTAGGATGTGTGGGTAAAAATGCTTCCCATGGATTATGGCCTTAGGTGTTAGAAATTAAGTGTGTTGTGAGGAGAGCTGCTTAGAAAGATTTTGTATCTGTAAAAACCTGAATGTCTGGGTGAGAAGGATGTGTGAAAAAGTTTTTTTTACATATATATCTGTTGGTATGGTTTGTACATCTCCAGAGGGTGCGATATTAGGTTAGTGCAATATTAATAAATGCAAAAATTTTGAAATTTCTGTCCAATGAATACAGGCCCTAATTATATCATTATAAATGTGAAGGGTGATCATTATTGATGATTCTCAGAAATGGAACTTCAAAACTAATACCTCAGTATTTGAGGAAGTGAGAATCCCTTTGAAGTACCAGTGAGGTTCAGAAGTGATGATTGTAAGTTTGTAGCCAATTCATATGAAGCTGTGACAAATTGTGATGGTTAGATAAATGAAGTTCCTGAAATTAGTCAGATTAAGGCAGGTGATGTGATGTGTCAATTGGTATTTTTAATCATAAGTCTTCTCACCTGCCTAAAGTGTATGTTAATGAACTGAAGTTGTTCATATAATGTGCCATTCAGTGCTTTCACAAGGCATTGGCTCTTTTGGGGCAAGACGTCAAAGTTCCTATGCATGATAGATTCTGAAGTTATTTTAAGGTCTGTAAATTTGTTTTTTATGCAATTTTTGTGACAAAATGGACTGACTTTCAATACCATAGAAGTTGGAGTGGAGTGACATACACTACAGTACATTATAGGCTTCCCAAGTTATGCAGCTGAAAATGAGGATACTGAAACAAGATATGCATTAAGTTGTGAGTCTTAGCTGGAACATGCACGTATATATGGAGTTTCGGCTAGACCTGGTCATACTGCCCACTGTGCCATCCAGAGGTGAGAGTTAGTTAATGAAATGTTTACATCAGGCTGTATGGAATATAAAACACTTTTGCATTCAATTACAGAGCAAATAGTTTGTTTCTTTGCTATTTAGGGAAAACGGGGATTACTTTCTCATTTTGCATCCCTTGTTAGCTGTGTTACATCAGTCTGTAGCCTGACTTTGGATAGTATGTTATGTGTCAGGCTTGCAGTCTTCTTAGATTTCAGCATACTGTGCAGTATTTTGCTACAATGTGCAGTTAATCATATTAATTTTGCCAAGACAGTTTAGAATGTGTTGCAGTTAGTAAAAGTTGGTTCAATTTTGCCTTGCTAACACCTGTATTATTTCTTATACAGTGTATAATGTATTCAATAACCAACTACAGTGTCACAGAAAGTATTTGCTTCCAGAACACCTGAGTTTTTGTGCTTTTTACTCTTTGATTTAACTTTTAAGATAATTTTTCTTCTAAACAAGCATTGGATTTCATGCAGATATTAGATTCCATCACTCTTGATTTCAGCATTTCATTAACTGGTATTTTTACCTTTAGACGACACCACTGTCCTTGTACAGTTAACTTTGTACCTTTTTAACAGTATACTGTTTTGTGTTGATCAAGTTTTTCTCATTATGCTGAGGCAATTTTAAGCAGTGATGTAAGCTTATGCAGTTTGTGTGTACAATATCTCATTTGATTGTTTACAAGTTTTGTTTTTATAGATATTTATTTGGCATTTTTCATTTTCTCGTGTTGAACAGAATCCATTACCAGATGTTGTTGACTGTGAATTCTTTATTATGGGCACTTTGTTATAATATCTTACACCCAAGTTTAACAGACTACACATTTTCTCTTCATTTGTCATTCATTCCTAAATGAATACATCTGCAGATGGAAAATACAGTAGGAATAATAATAATAATTAAACAAGGCATTTTTTAAATAATGAGAGAATTATGATATACACATTTCATACCCTAATTTTTTAAAGTACATATATCCCCTAGAGACCCATCTATGATGTAATGTAAATGCAAAATTCAGTCAGAGATTTAGGTAGTTCAAGTTCTTCCATTGTTTACTTGGCCATGGTCACATTGTATATATGTCATAAAAGCTTAGTTAAATATTTTTGTAATTAGATTACAGTTTCCAATCTGAAAATGAGATTAATTAAATGAACTTCAGTGAGATGTGAACAGTGAAGAACTCTGAATTATATAGATCACCGTATTTATAGGCAAAAAGTCATAACTGGGTTTAGTACCAATCTCTTGGGGATGTTATATTGAGGCCCATGTGCATCTCTGTCTAGTCACCAAAATTTGTGTGCATATTTATATATCTCATTTTGATGTGTCTTCTTGTAACCATAATTTGTTTTCACATGTCTTTTATATTTATATTTTTGCTTACCACAAGTTAGTGTTTAGAGTATGAAGGACTTGTTTTACACAAATAGCCCAAACCTGCATTATTTGTAGTTAAATCAACTATAATATGAATTATAACAGGATAGAATATTACTTTCCTGACAAGGTGTACTTCCTTACAATGTGGTGTGTCTTAGGATGTTTATAGAACATTATGTAACCATGAAATAAACAGATCATAAATGTCAATAAAATCACTTTTAAATGTCCCCTTGGTTAAGAATAATGTATTGTCATTGATTTTCAACATTTTAGTACTTGTCAGTATTCATTCATTAAAAGACATAATGGATTACAGGATATAAAACACTATTATATGTGCATTCGGGTAAGTTCAGTATACCATTCTCTGTAATTAATCACTGAAGTGGTTTATGTTGCATTTTTTTTGTATTACATATTGTCTCTTACCTCATTCAGTGCAGGGTTTGATAATAAAGATATGTCCTGACCATTATAATTTCAGACTTTTTCATATACTGTACAGTATGTGTGTTTAACCCTCATCACCAACTCAACAATTGCCCAAGGATTCTGCCTGTTGATGTGGTTGTTTCACTGTGCAGCTTCAACAACTTCTTGCACAGGAAATAAGAATATACTAGAAGAACGAGTGCAAATAAATAAAACTTAATCCTTAGACTGCTCCATGCCTCCTGGGTGACTAAGTTTTGCAGTATTGTTTGAATGGAATCACCATGTTTGAGTGGCAGGCCAGTCCTTAGACACATCACTGGAGTGGTTGTCATGCTGTAGGAATTCTCAGTTACTTACTGGAGTATGGCAATGAGTGCTGCGTCTTCCCCACCCATCTTTTCGCATATTTTGTCTTCCCTCCCATTTTGGCAGCCTATTTAAATCATAAAAAGTGGTAAACGTGTTTATTTTTTATTTTGGAAATCATACCCTGTAGTTGTTATTGTGAGTAGGAGTCTGAACAATATATACGAGTGAATAAAATGGCAAAATAAAGAGTGAAAACTTGGAAAAAAGTGCAATAAAGTGAAACAATGTTTGCCAGTGCTCCTCAGTGTAGTATTTCTGTGTGTTTATAAGTGCTTCTCCATGAATATTGGGCATGATTGTGGTGTGTAAAGTAATTTTTAGATATTTGGGGGGATTTGTATTTTGTCGATCAACACTGAAATCGCTTCTATGGCGTTCCTAATCACAGGACATCGGTTTAATTGACATTGCACCAAAAGATTCCTTTTTGACCAGGCTAGTCTTTTTTCTTTTCTTTTTTTTTCACAAATTTTCCTAAAGCCTAAATTACTTATACTGTACAGGGATTCCCAGAAAAAAAAAGTAGCACTTTAAGAATTAATTGAAATACTTAAGGGATATCTGGTAAGGATTAAATGTCAAGAAAAAAGTACGTACAGTATAAGTAACTATAAAAGAAAACTGGTGCTTGGAAGCATATGTATATTTTTCATTTCCAAGTATCCAGATAGTAGCTAGTGCGAGTGAGGGTGTGTGTTATGTAGGACGTATTGATATGTGAGCTCCAAGTGAAAAATATAGTTATGGAAAACAATTCACTCTGTGATAGCCTGTTAAAATGGATAAGTGTCTCACGCTGTATATACAGTGTCTCCATTAGATCAATTTTGTAGTGCGGAATGGATGAGTTGTTGGTTCTGAGTAAACACAAGAAATACACTGCCACATTCGTAGAGTGATACGGTATATATAATTTGTAATAAAAGTTTAAAGTCCTGCTATAATAGTCGAGATAAGTTTATTTCTCTAGAAACAGGAGCGCAGACGGAGTTCTCCAACAAACTTACTGCTGCAGTCGGAGGTACTGTAGTACAAAGGATGGCCTCTTCAGATCCCAAATGCCATGTTCAGGTAAGTTTTAAGGGTGATTTATATGGTCTAAGTCTGTAAGTCATGAACATTTCGTAAGTGAAGAAATGTGCTGTGAAAAGCAGCTTATGGACATAAAAAACTCCCATGTTCACACCAGCTCATCTGTTATGTATTCTTACCTGGTAGACTTTCTCTTTTTTTTCCAGTGCATTTACAGAGTATATCAGTGCTAGATGGAGATACGAGTCGATTTAGAAGTACAGGTGCTCCTCTACTTACGAACGAGTTACGTTCCTGAGGCTTGTTTGTACGTCCAATTGTTTGTAAGTCCAACTTTACTTTTGTAGATACCAAACATATTGTAAAAAATTAAAAGATTATGGATATTTAGTACAGCTATACCCTTTAATAAGGCCTTAAAACATGGCTCACTCTTCTCCTCTTAGGTAATGTTTGATCTATCTGGAATTTTCTTCAAAATAATCCAGTCTCATCCACATGAAACACCTGTTCTGGCAGGTAACCCCCCTCAGTGGTGATGTTTGTATCTCTGAAAGTTTGTAAGTTGAACATTCTTAAATAGAGGAACACCTGCACTGTAATGACATTCTGGACTTTATTTTGCAAATGCATTGGGATATGTATTATCATTTATATTAATTAATGGGTAAAATTTTACTTTAACTGCCAGAAGTATTTGAATGTTTAGATTCGAGATAGGCTATATTGGGTAAATTTTAAGTTTTGGTCGTCCCTGTACTTAGACATGCAGACTATGTTTTTTTTTCTGATGGTGTGTGATGTGTTATGAACGATTTTGACCTTTATTTCTATCGCAAATCACTAGTTTTGAGTTAATAGCCCCCCCCTTACTGGTTAGGCTAACCTTATAATATAACTCATCATACCCTAACCTAACCTAACACCAGTATTTTCTTGTTCTAACGAAAAAAAATTTGCAACAAATCCCTTAGAGATAATGTGTCTTATTGTTTAAAGTACTTAATCCCATAGTTAGAATCTTAAAGTTCCCCAGATGACCAAAACAATACCAATATTGTTTGGAATGATTATACTGTACTATGGAATTTGTAGTAGGGGCAGCTAATATCCATTGAATTAGTTAAAGTGCTCAGTAATGTTTATACAGTATATTCAATATTAATTATCTAATAATATTTATTTACAGAGCCGATTAGCCGAGAAGGTTGGACAACTACTTCCAAGGTTCATCAAGGCAGATGAAAGAAATTTACCAAAAGTAGATATCTTTATGATTGTAGAGTGTTATCAAGAACTCAGCCATCCAGCTATGAAGCACGTTAAATTACATATGTCATCTGATCATCTCAAGCCCATCCCCTGGCCATGGTCGTACCTAGTTCTTTCACAAAATTAAATACAGACATCAGTGACGAAAACTTCCATTTTTCAGACATGAAATAGAGAACAGTGATGAAAACTTCCATGTTGGAGTGATCGGTCTTTTGCATCATTTTGGCACCCAGCAAGTAAATACACATGATAATACTTGAGCAGTAATTTAATTTAACCTAAAAATAAGGTATGCCTGATATCAACATTGTATATGGCCACAAGTCCTGTATTTCTGCTGGTAACAACACATACACCACAGCTGGCTGCCTCCAGGTTCCTGCTCGGTGGCTCAAGCCAACCTGTAATGTCACAACCAATCACAGGGCTTTTTGCAGTCACGCGACTTTTGAGCTACTTTAACCCTTATTTTTTACACCTTTTGGCCCAATTTATTTAAAAATACCATTACCATTGTGAATTTAAGCATTTTCTTTACCCATTGACCTGCCATCTTACAAAAAAATTCCAGCCAACATCTCATCTACTTAGTTGCTGGTTATGAAGGGGAAGAATGCCAATCTGCAATTTGTAAACAATGGTACTTCTGGCCAGTCAACTTATGTGCTCATTTTTACGTCAGTATTGGTAACAATGAAGATAATGTACAGGTACTCCTTGACTTACGACCGCCGCAGTCATATAAAATATTTTTCAAAATACATATTTTCCCGTAGTAGTGATCAAGTTGTGTACTGACAAAATTTTCGTTTCTTATTCCCTTTAAAATGGCTGGCAAGCGTATAAGTGAGAGTTCTCGTGGTGCTGAGAAGAAAAAGAGACACCCATTTTAGATTTTCTATGTATTATTTTCGCATTTTCAACTTACGACCTAGTCGTCGGTCCCTAACCCCGTCTCTTGCCTTAGCAGATGTTAATCTACGCTCCAAACCACGTAGGGGTTAAGACAAAAGAAGGATTAATAGAATGACAAAATACAGTAAATGAAAGTAAAAAATAAGTCATCACGTAAATAAAATATGGTAAATTTCAAGTTTAACCCCATTTGTATCAGCAGGCATTCGTAAGTCAGGGACCCCCTGTATTAAAGACTACAGTGCACAAATATGTTTCTGTGACCTTGTGGAAATCTACCTGCCTGTTGGTTGCCTGTACACTGATACCGATCATCGGGAAATTATCGGAGACTGACGGGACAGCGAGTGGTAATTTGATGACACTTGTGATATACCTATCTACTGCTTCTGTATATACAACCTGGCCGCTGGCAACCAGCAGTGGAAGCTGGGTAAGTGGCAAAAGGAGGGTCAAAATACGGGTCTCAGGAGTGGGATTGCCTAGCAGTGAGATATTAGGCAAGATGAAAGGCGAAGGCGTCTATCGTAACTGCTAATGTAATACCTGTATGTTGAATAGCGAAATGATAGAAATAATGTAATAAATTTAGTTAGGGAGTTATATATATTAAGTTGCATTTAATTTAAGTTATATTTAGTTAAAGTAATTGTAAATAATTACTCCTGATTTGAATAATGTCTTGCGTGAGTCTACATTCCTTTGTCAGCACACGCATCCTACCAGCTACCCTTGAATGTAAAATTACCTGCCATCATCAGTTCCTTAACAATCCTGATCAGAGAAACACAACACTCACCACCTTCAGTAAAAACCAGAGATCATGGAGGGGCTCACCAACTAAGCTCAACCATTAATTCCTAACCTCCATCCACATCTGCAAACCTTGAGTATCAATTTATATTGTATAATATCCTAACTCTATACAGCCACTCCCCGACTTATGACGGGGTTAAGGACCCAAATCCAGGTAGTAAGTCGAATTGGTCGTAAGTCGAAAATGCAAAGATAATACAGTACAGTACAGTCGGCCCTTAACATACGCGGGTTTAGCATACACGGATTTGCAAATACGCGGATTGCCCCGCCGGAGGAATATTCTGTACATTGAAGTACATTCAAATCGCGCGCCATTCAACCCACGCGCGGCACCGAACACAGGACACCACCCGCTCCCGCAA